TTAATGAGAATGGGTTTAAGTTAGCAGTTGGTGAGGGCATAAGGTATCTTATCCCGGGGAAAGCAGTCTGGTGTTAGAATTTATTTATATCCAGAACCTTTTGTTGGTTGTAGTTTAATATATATATATATATATATATATATATATATACTATACATATAAATCATATATAAATATATATATCATATACATATAAATCATATATAAATATATATATCTCCTACTATACATATAAATCATATATATATATACACACACACACGTATCCTATATGTTATGTAATATATGCATATCCTACTATACATATAAATCATATTTTTTCGAAAGGGCCATTTGGTGTTTTATTTTTTGATTGGTGAATGAGTGTCCATGTGTATTGATTCTCTTTTTAAATTCTCTGCAGAAATGCCGATACTTTCTTTTGGGGTAATGGTTACCTGGTATATTACCCTAGTGGATCTGCACTTGCCTCTACTGGACAGTTTTCCTTAATTCTACAATTACAGGGAGTTTCCATGTTAGATTTAGTTTTTTTTTTCAAATGAATTTACTTAAAATGCAATTGTTATGGGAACTAATAATTTGGTACATATTAACAGTGCAGGAGTAAGCTATGTTTAGAAGAAAAAATCAGGATAATAAAATATAAAGATCAATGCAAACTATTAAATTAACAAAGAAAATGAATCACAAAATGTAGATATAGAAATAAATTCCAAATTACATAAGAATGCATAGATGTGGGGTGTATGTGTGCGCATAGTGGCATATATTTATGGACATGTAAATGTACATATATATATGTATGAAGATATGTAACACAAACCCATTTTCATTAACAAGGCATCTCCCAGAGGAGGACTGACATTGAAAATAAATTTAAAACCATGCTCCAAGACAGACACTTAGGGGCTGATGATAGCTGCATGCAGAACAGCTTGAAATAGACTATACTATGTTGAGGTAATTTTTGTTTTTTTGCTGTAAAATATATATATATATATATATATATATATACACACACACACACATAGGGTGCGACAGATAAATTGTCATCTAAATTACACAAAAATAAAAATAACACTGACATCTCATTTTAACAGATATATTTACCAAAATTATACAAAAATATCTTGAAATACTAAAGAGTAAATTTATTCAATAAAATCGACATTGGCTTCAACCATGGCCTCCAGATGACTTCAGAATTTCCTGTAAATTTTTTCTTTGTTTAAGTTGGTGAATGCTTACCTTCAGTTCATCTTTGGTCTTATAAGGAGTTTTGTTGGTCTCTTGTTGAACTGCTCTCCACATGTAATAATCAAGGGGGTTGCAGTCTAGGGGGTTAGGTGGTCAGATGGAAGGGGTGATGCAGTCACAGAAATTGTCTGACAGCCATGACTGCATTCTCCTGCTTGTGTGACATAGTGCAGATTCCCATTGCCAGACATAGGGTCTTCCAGCAGCCACCCTCTTCACCTAGGATAGGACTACCTCCTCAAAGCACTTGATGTTGAGCTTGAGGCCCTGTGGGAAAATGAATAGAGGTATAACGTCATCATACTAGTGATCACTAAACACCACAATGTTGTCTGGATATTTGGTTTTCATCACTCTTGGTACATCTTTTGAAAACACAACATCCTCTGCACTCTTCTCAGATTGATACCCAAATAATTTGAAATGTTTGTTTTAGAGTTTCGAGCATGAATGCCAAGTAGCAAATCATGCTGTTTCCAAATTTCTGGCAGGGTGAATTACATCATGGTGTTCTTTTTCTCACAGACAGTGCTTAACTGACCCTATTATACTGTGCAGTCAACAAAATCAAAATCAAACAACGTGCATGTGCAAAATTAAAAATATGAAATGGCAACAATTTACCCATTGGACCCTTTGTGTATTTTTTTATATATATATATATATATATATATATATATATATATATATATATATATATATATATATATATATATACTATTGACCTGTCTTGGTTAGAACGATAAACTACATCCATGTCCTGGGTAAGATGATAAACTACGTCCAACAGTAAGGCAGATCAGGAGGTTTTGAGGTGTGTGGAACCACCTCTTAATTGCTGGTGTTCTCAGGTCCACCCTGACCCAGGGTGGTGGCACCTGTTAGGGTCCCAGCTATGGGCAAATAGTGAACCTCAAACTGGGGTAAAAAAAACTATGAAAGTGTAAAAATATGGTTTAATACCAGAAATTTCCAGCAATAAAAAACTTACCAGCAATACGTTTTTGGAAAAATATTACCAACAATGTTTTTAAAAAAATAAATATTACTAGCAATAGATTTTTGAAAAACCAAAAAACATTACTAGCAATAGATTTTTGAAAAACCAAGAAACATTACTAGCAATAGATTTTTGAAAAACCAAGAAACATTACTAGCAATAGATTTTTGAAAAACCAAAAAACATTACTAGCAATAGATTTTTGAAAAACCAAAAAACATTACTAGCAATAGATTTTTGAAAAACCAAAAAACATTACTAGCAATAGATTTTTGAAGGAAAAATATTACCTGAAATAGATTTTTGACAAAACAAAATATTACTAGTAATAAAAATCTTGTCAGCATTAAATAACCCATTGAGGTTGATATACCGTAAAACAAACCAAACCAAACACTACTGACAAAAATTACAAATCTGAAAGTTTTTCACTTGATAAATTTAATTCAAAGTTATTTTTAAGTATATTATACTTTCTTTTTGGCTGCAATAAATTTAATGAAATTATTTTTAAAGATCTTATTGGAGTCATAAAATTTAATCAATGCTATAAAAAAAGAAATACTAAAAAGGAGAAGTGGAGATATAGTAACAATAAAAGAGAAAAAAGGATTAAAAACAACTGACCAGTTTTTATTTCTTTTTCATCAGAGCTCAATTGAGGAATTAAAATACTGTGAACAAAGAATAAAAGAAAGGATGGAGAATAAGGATATGAAATGCATATACGTCAATAATATATTGACACATAATTATGCTATAAACTGATCACTTTGAGATCACACAACCATTTCTTTTGTTTACACAAAGGCTGTCTTGATTTAGTAAAAACTGTCTCCAGAATTTTCTGATGGATGTCAGAATGTGATTTACTTAACACAGGAAACATATCCTCATGGTCGTTCAATGCACATTGCCTATTTTTAACAAGATGTTCCTTCTAGAATAAAAACGCTTATGGCCATCTCACATTGGAACATCACTTCTCATATGATCACCAAAGTTAAGCAATATCATGCCTGGTCAGTACCTTGATGGGTGACTGCTTGGCTGTAAGCTTGGATGTGTGGGTGGTGTAATGGATAAAGATTTGAAATTAGTAATTGGAGAGCCAAGTTCCAATTCCAGTCAGATTCATTATATTTGCTTAAGCACAAATACTCTTGGAAAAGGTATGAATCCATCTCTTTTTCCCCCTCAGATATGAGTTAATTAGTAGGACTTATCTCAGTAAATCCTTATTATTACCAAAAAATTCTTACAATTTAAAAATATTTTCTGGCTTCAAATAACCTGCAAAAGGTTGATAAGCCATAAAAAACAAATCGGTCAATCAATTACTCTAGAAGAAAAACTGCCATTAGTTGAATAATTATTAAATCCCATTATATAACAGTATATTTTAACAGGAATTTTATGTTTAATATATTATTCTATAATAGGATCATTAATAATTTTTCAATTGTTGATAGTTTTTTTCTTCTAGAAGAACCAATGATAAAAACTCATAGTTCTTTGTCATAATTGTAAGGTTTTACTGTATAATACGGTTCTCCATCTTCATTACATTTATTATAAAGACAGAGAACTAATGATTTTTTTTTTTTGTAAGTTAAATCTGTTTATTTGTAAGTGAATTCAATTTTATACTAATTCTTTGTCTTTCTTAGAAATATAAAATCATTAGAAAGTAATCATTTATTTTGCGACCATGAACTACAAGTCATTCAAGCAAACTTGGAAACAGTCTAGAATTAGTTTATCATCTTTTCTATCTGACAATGTTGTTTATCGTGCATTTCAGAGTTTATCTGGGGAAAACTTGCAAAGAACAAATTTTGGTTCCTCATGAGTTTTTTTTTTTTTTTTTGTCTTTAAGAACCAAATGCAAAATTCCACCATTTGCAGCAGTCTTTGAACCAGAAATGCCAACCTTTCATTTTTCTTCTGCATTGGTTTGGGCTTTTGCATGTCAACAGAAAACAAAAAAACTAACTGTTTATCACAAAATGGGCAACCAGTGCCCACACCAAAACTAGGACTCCATCCTCAGAAGTTCTTGCTTTGTGTCTGATGGAATATGAAAGGTGTTGTTGATTATGAGCTACTAGAAGAACCATCACTGTAGATGTTTATTGGTAGCAACTTGATCAGGTAAACAAAGCCCTACATTGAAAGTGCCCTGCTTTAGTAAACAGAAAAGGTATACTCTTGCCTAACAAAGGGCACATTCTACAAAACAAACCCAAGAAAAAAAATAAGATTGTTAAGATGGAAAAATTCCTCCACCTTCTTCATACTCACCAGATTTAGCAACTACAGATTTTCATTTCTTTCAATCACAAGAACATTTCATGAGTGACAGAGCAATCAGAAACAAGTTGAAAATAGTCTTTGAAGCATTTTTCAGAGTAGGGTAAGAGACCAAATTTCTTTAAATTTGAAATTGAAAATTTGCTTTCCCATCAGGCTGCAGTTATTTAAAATGAAAATGATTACATTTTTGACAAATAATATTTAAATAAATTTAACTTAAATTTGTTTTTATATTGTTTCTGGTAAAGTGTAATTACTTCCCAAGCATCCTAATTAATTTAATATATATATATATATATATATATATATATATATATATATATATATATATATATATATATCCACAATTCTCTTTTTTTTTTTTTTTTTTTTTTTTCTGAAAAATTCTCCTAATGAATTTATTTCTTATGTCCTGGTATTTCAGAAAGAAAATCAAAGCTGACATCCTGAAAGTTTTCAATTCCCTTGATGATGAATCCCTAAATGAAGTCCTACCTAACAAAGGAGATGTCACAGTGATGAAGATCTCCACAAACAGTGGAGAAAATGCTTTGGTTTATTTCTTTCAAAAAAATCCAATGTTTTTTGAACTTGATAAAACAATCTTTCCTACAGGTTGGTTATATTATATTCTATCTCCTTGCTTTATTGCTCATCTTACTAGTTAATTTAATTTTTTTTAATCAGTTTGTCCCAAGCAAGGCAATAATGCTACTCAAAGAATGAAAAGATTTTAGAAGAAACCAGGCACCTGATCTTAAACAAGAAACAAGAGATAAACCTCTACTCTTGTTCAAAAGACCAGGTAGGAGTGTGAACCAAAGGATAGGCAAATCTATCTACTCTAATTGAGGAGAGAGAAAATAAAAATTAATAAATAAAATTTCAGAATTTTGAAATAGATATTAGACATATAGAGTTGAAGTAGACTTTAAAAGGAACTAGAAACTCAATCCTAAACAGGAAACCATAGATAAACCTGTACTCCCTGTTCAAAAGATCAGGTAGGAGTGTCAACCAGGTGATATGTTTGCCTATCTACTATTTCATGGCATTGTTCAAATAATGTATGAATAGTGATTATAAGGAAGATATAAGTATATTTTAATACCTCCTTAACTTTAAAACAAAGAAGTTTGTCACCAAACTTTGTGAAAGAGATTGTTTATTATTAAATATAAATAGTCCTTCTCAGTGCCTTTGTGACATTTTTTCAAATTTAGAAAGTATTACAATAATTGAAATATCATCTTTGAAGTTTAAATTTCAGTTTTAATTGTAAGAAAAAGCACAATAAAAAAAATACTTTTATGTTTAATTTTTTTTAATTTCTTTTTATGTCATCCAAAATTATTAATGTTACATTTTAATTAATGAAAATGACAAAGAAACAACTTTTGTGTTTGTGTATAGAAACTTGTATGTTAAAAAGTGTCAAAGGAAAATAATCTTATTTTTTTCCCATGATTTTTCATATATCCTGATTACATAATTTCTGTATGTATTGACAATAAAAAGAAATACCATTTTCTACCTTAAAAATCTCTGATTCATTGGATTTTGTTAAAATTTCCTTTTTTTTTTTTTTTTTTTTTTTTTTTTTTTTTATTCGTAAAACATTTTTATTGATAACACTTTTTCAAAAGTGTCCAAGAGAAATAACAAAGAATTTTATTATATTAAAACAAATTTTGTTTTCAGATCTTTTTTTTATTTTCACGCTGAAGCCATATTTCCTGCATCTTTGAAGCTTCAAATAAATTTCAACCGATTTAATTTGTTTTGGGAATTAAACAAATACAAATATTTTTAGTGTAGAGAAGTTATTTTGCAATTTCATGAAATATAATGGGAGGGGGGTTGGTTGTCTTTAAAAGAAATATTTTACAAACCGTTTTAGTAAAAAAAAAAAAATATACACTTTTCATAAATAAATATTGAAATGCAATAATTTTGGTTGATATTTTTTCCAATCTATGCATTTTTTACATAAAAATGCTCCTATCTATTATTACATTATGCTGTTTTATACAATTTAACTACATATATCGCTGGTTCTATTTTTATATAAAAATTTTCTCTTTCTTTTTACTAAAAGCACAAACATTATAACAATGTAATATGAGTTTGTTTTTCTTTCTCCTAAATCCATCACAAGTGCATGGAGCTACATACTTAACTTTGTTTGCAAATAGCCAAATTTATTTAAAAAATTCACCCAATATTCCAAGTGTATAATTTTAAAACATATTTTCGATCAGCTGCATATTTTTTATCTTCCAATTTTGTTTAATTCTTATTTTCTCTCTTAATTATTTCATAAAGAAAACAGACATTGCATTTTGTAAATTTTCAAGTCATTCAAAAGAGAAATCTAATTTACCAAATAATTTTGTGGAAATTAATATTTGGAAATGGGAAGAATACAAAAATGGAGACTAAGGAAGCAAGAGTAATACAAGTAGGCAACCAAATATTTTTTTCTATTTTCATAGTACAAGGAAATTTGTAGTTAAAAATCAAAAACTTTAAAGATTTAAATGAGTTTTTATATTAACTTATAGTTGGGCCATCCCCCCAAAAAATTACAGCAAATACTGAAAACTTATTAAAGATAGACATTATGTAATAAGGTTAAATGGAAAATAGTTTCATTAAATGCATTACAATTAAAAAGAAATCAAATATGATGTAAAATCTTATAAGAATTATTGTTTTTTGTTTTTTTTAAGTTATTTAAATTTTATTTAGTATAAAGATTTGTTATTCTCTGCAATTTCAGTTGGTTAATTTCTATTGTATTAAATGTAAAAAGTTAACATAAACCCTTTAATTTTACAAAATGATTTTGAAAGATTTTCTGCACTGTTTCCCCCACAAAAGATCCCTTAATTTTTTAGTTTAATGAATGTTGAATTGAGTGTATTATTGGACTTTTTGTGTTAATTGTTTATAATTTACAAAACTTTTCTCATCTACATGCCAAAGCTTTTAGAGTACAAAATGGAAATTAAAGCAACTTTAATATTTTTCTAAAAAATAATTTGGATATCCACTGTTTTTACTGATCAGATAATGATCGTTGTCATTACTGTAATGAATGTCTTCTTAAAAATAACCTGCAGATCATTTATGGTTTGAAATACCCAGCTGTTACTTCATTATCTTGCTTAAAAAATGTTACCTTTACTTTAAAACAAAACCAAATAAACTTTTAAAATTGACCCATAATTTGCCAGTCTGAAAGTTACCTATTTTTTTATTTTTCCAAGATAACCTTTTTCATAAATAAATAACTATAAAATAATTAGTTTAGTCTTTTAATTACGAGACCTGAATTTAATTTTTCTTACAAGGTGAATACAAAAGAAATAGTTTCAAAAATTTATTAAACCAAAATTATTTAAGGTATTGACACTTCCAATGTACAGTTTTATGGAGAAACTCTTGAGGTTTATTACAGCAATATAATATAAATGTTGTACATTTTCCTGTGTGACTTCTGGAAGCACCAGGTTTTTCATTGTCAATGAGCATTTGGGAAGCAGTGAGACAAGATGTCTGTAGATGATATTGAAGGCATTTTGTTTGATAGAATTTGAAAGAGCAGAATATTTGTGTAAAGGTTCAGGGAGACCATCGGTATCTGCATAATGTTACTAAGGGAACACATCAAGCATTTGTAAGATGCTGTAATAATCTTCAAGAGGATCTCTAAAAAAACTGTAATGTGAGTGTCAAAATCTTTTTCATTGATTTTTTTAAGCTGTTTCTTTTGTCATCACCTTAGAAAAAAATCGCTTGAATAAATGTAAATTACACTCTAGTTTCAAATAGATGGAGTGATTAGAATAAAAAGGGGTGGCTGGAAATTTTTAATAATTTTCAGTAATGAAACACTTTGTCCTAGAATGCTAAAATTAAGTGTTGAATATTTACTAAAAGGGGTGGCTGGAATATAGATGTCCCAGATGGATTTTTTCCAAAAAAAGAATCATTTTAGACGATCTTGAACTCAAAGGTAATTTGTTTTAAAAAAAAAAAAAAAAAAAAAAAAAAAGTTGTATAATTGAGATAATTATATGCCATAAAAAACATTGATTTATGCTTAGGAGGTAATTGTTTATCTAAAAGTTGCTGAAATGCAAAGCTTAGACACCAGTTGTAAGCACAAGAATGGAATGAATAAATCATCGTGCATATTATGCTTTTGTTGATAAATCCTCAGTTTTCATATAGCATTATTACTTTTACTAATACAGATATTGCAATGTTAAAGGAAAGTTGTAAGTAGAACTTGATTATATGTAAGTGCTGAATTGAACAAAAGAGACTAGCAAAGAAAGTGTTATTTACTTGCCACTTATGGGCTAAATTAAATACTTTTTTCATATTCTACATTCATGAGTTTTAAAACAGAAATTCTTATTCTTACCTAATAAAAAGAAAATGGGAAAAAAAATTTTCATTAACTTTTCAATGTCCTATTTTTTGTAATGGTAGGCATCTTTAGGAAGATTGACATTCAAGGCTTGAGACCCTATCATAGCCATATATATATATATAAGCACCTCAGATCTAGAATTTCGTAGATGAACTTTTAAAAACTTTTTCAATCCACCCTTCAGGAGGTTTCAGCAATTAACTGCTGTTTTTCTCATTTTGTGTTTTCATATTGGCCATTTCATATATATATATATATATATATATATAAACTCTGACACCAAATCGGTTGGGTCTTAATTCCTGCTTGAGGCATTCGGATGTCTAGTCACACTGAGGAGCTGTGAAAGTACTGCCTGGGAATAATATATATATATATATATACATGCTATTGGCTCCTATAATAAGTTCATACACACAATTTGACAGGTCTTGTTTTTCGTCCCCTGTGGGGTGACATGCTACCCTTCTTACCAGCTACCAGTTAGTGGAGGATATGGTTTAGATGCCAACCATACATCCATGTGGCAAGTTGTACTGGGTTACATGTTCTCATTAGAAGGCCTAAGCATGACCTGACCTGAAATAATAGGTTTAAATGCAGATCATATTAAGAGCAAGTAGCCATTCCTTCCATTTACACAGGGAAGGCTGTCTAGACTTAATGAAAATTGTTTCAAGCACTTTAAGATGAAATTGGGAGTGCTATATGCACAACACGGAGAACATTCTCCCAGTATGCAGCGGTGCTCTTATGATGTTTATCAGGTGTTTTGCAATTGCCAACCCAAATTATCACTTAGCCTAACCTCTCCTGATAAATACAAGAACATGCTGTGAATTTCTCCTCTTTCAAAAGTTGAGTTGTCCTCCCTTCATATTCAGCATTGCATTGGCATTTAGAAGAATAGATAACTGAACTAGATAAGTAGGCTGTCCTTACAAACAGATTTCAGCATCTGCCAAGATGAGAACATCACTCATAGAATAGCAGAAAAATAACATTGTGAAATGCTGGATGAGATTTGTTTAGCAAAAATCACACACGTCTCACCAATTCAGGGTAGCCATAAATAGACATGATATTTTTCAGGGACAAAACATTTGAGCTTATGAAATTGTTCAATTTTCATATTAACATTTGATTGCACAATGTCCAAAGAAGAAGGAAAATCATAAAATATCTCTCTAATAAATTTTAACTCTTCTTCTAACTTATTAGGAGAACAGATCATTAAAACCCAATGGACTAAGGTTTTAACCAAATTGATGTGTTATATCTTCTGGGATAAAAGGAGTTCCATTGAGTATGTAAACCTTAAAATGTGGGCTTATTATCATATTTTAAATATATCTGCTTTCCACACCATAATTCTATAATAACAATTAATAATGGATTTTTATTTTTATAATTAATAATGTTTTTTTGGGTTGACATTAATGGGTTAATAAGAAATCAGGAAAAAAAAAAACTTAAATTATTAATCAATTCACAGAATATTTTAGCCAAGTATGAAGTGATTCAGAAAAATTCTCAGCCCAACCAAGAAAGGATTCACAAACAAATTCTGATGTTTGGTCATTTGGTTAGATTTTGGGATATGAGTCAGGTTGAGAATTTTATAGGGCACCTCCTCATAGAATTATTTATATTTTCCCCCCAACCAAAAAACCTTTATCCAGTCAAAAGTGGAGTGTATTTTTAATGAAAGGGATATAACATATGAATGCTATATTTAATTTACCAAAAAAAAAAAAAAAAAGATGCTCAATTTCTAGAAGCATTTGGAAGGGATAAAGTGCAATAATCCACATATATGAAACAATTGTGGGTGTGTATGTATGTAAAATCTGGCGGTGTATACAAAATTTTATTAGGGGCTTTAAAAATGGATATTTTTAAAAGTGTGTACACACACGCATATGTATATATACAATACAAGTAAAAGATTTGTTACTTAGCTGATTGATGTTACCTTCAGCATCGTGACTCCAGAGTTTCATAGAGAGACACTCTGGGAATCACTCCATCCACTCATCAGGGAGTATCAGCAATTAACTGTCTATACTTCTTGATTTTTCTTTTTTATAGGTACTTTTCATTTTTATTTTCATGGTGTATATGTGCATTTGAGCCCATCTGTGTGTATGTGTAGAATGTCGTGTTTCTTTGTCCTTTTCATCATTTTTTTCTCTCTCATGCTGTGGGGAGCAACGATTGGAGAAAAAATTACTCACCATAAAATGGTGGATTATTTTATTTTACCACACAACACTTTTCTACATCCCCAGTAGAGTTTACTATATATTTTCAAGTTGTTAACAGAAAATTTTATTTCTATTATGTCATCAGAAGGATTCACCAGATAATGATAGGCAAATTGTCTCTCACTATACATTGAACTCCTCTGACCACATAGCACAATTTTCTGTTAATTTTAATTTGAAAAATAAAAATATTATTTGTGTTTTTAAATTAATTTTTTAGCTCACAGATTATTTTCAGCTGCAGATAAATAGGTAATTTTTTTTTATTGTACTTCTGTTATATCCAAAACACAAATATTTCCATTAATGTTTTGATGGCAGAGATAAATGGCTATGAAAATAGTTATAAAATCTTTCTTTCACCAATCATTGACATTTTAGGAAGCTATTTTAAATTCAATTTCTTAATAAATATTAGCAGTTCCTGCAAAAATTCCAGTTTTCCTCTTGAATTTTTTGATTAATCATAATTATTAGTTTAATGATTGAATACATTCCTTGCAATTTCCATGACTATAAAATACCCTTAGAAAATCTACTATTGAACTGTTAAGTATTTGAACTTAACAACTTTTACAAAATATGGGAAACTAGCCTATTTTGTATGCTATTTTTGTCAATTTTCCCATTGTATCCTGATAGTATTGAAGGAGATACATTTAGATCCCTTAAATGATCTCTTGCTGATTGATGGGTCGTTAAGTTTTAAACAAACAAACATTTAGATCCACAGAAATATAAAAGATAAAAATATGCTCATTTTAGCATTAAAATTTCTTTCCTCATTTCCAGTTTTCAGAATTATATTTCATGTATGCTATATTTTTTTCATTAAAATCAACTCTCGGATATATTATTCTTCAATTTTTTTTTCTCACAATCAAAATGGAATGACCCAATATTTGTTTTAGGCCGTTGTAGGACATATTACACATGCTAACTTATATTTACTCCTAATGGAGAGAGACAAGCAGAATTAATATGATAATTTCTCCCATATCTTGTCTACAAGAAAATTTGGCCTAAAAGAATATTTGGTAATGTTTAACCTTTGTCCCTGCAAAAAAAAAAACTATGTGAAAAGGACAGTTATTCCCTTGACACCGCTATGAGTGTATACGCTTTTATCTCCATTGGCAATGATTATTTAAAAAAAAAAAAGATTAGAATTTTTTAAAAATTGTTTTCCTAGTTATTTATAAAATGGTAAATAATAAATATTGCATTTACACATTTTGATAATTTTTGAATAAAAAGATTTCTTTTCAAATTTATTTCTTTATAAAAAGTTAAATAATAAATATTACATTGTACTTGGTTCTCATATTTTTATAATCTTGTAAATAAACATTATCAAAGGAGTCAAAAGTGTGTACAGTTATAGCAGTGTCAAGGTAATAACTGTTCTTTTGACATACTGTTTTATTGTGGGCATGAAAGTTAAACATTACCTAATATTCTTTAACTCAAAAACTAATAAAAGTAAATTATTTATTATTAAAATTGTTAAATACTTCCTTGTGCTATTGAATCTATTAGGATGCATTAAAAAATACCCAGCCTGAAATATATTAGTTGAATTTTGATCTGAAATTTTCATTGTATAATGTATGATCTATGTAATTAATATTCCCCACTTGATTTGAATGTATTGGCGAGGAAGGAGATTATGTTGAAAAATATGTTTTGTATAATGAATGCTACTTTTTTTCTTTTTTTTTTTTTCCTTATTAAATTGCAGACATGTTGATGTATGGTTGTATGTATGTTAATGTTAATATTTCAGAAAATGTGGATAAAATATCAAAAATTTTACCTAATTTTATTTCAAAATAATCAACACCAAATTATTTGGATTTTTCTCTTCAGTTTACCTCTTGTGGAAACATCCTCAAATTATGTTGTCTTTTACAACATGGCCTGCTGTATTTACAAAGTTAACTGCTGGTGCTGGTAAGTCAGTATTTTTTATCTTTCTTTCCCCCCCCCCCGCCTTTCTACAGGTTTCCTGCAGAAAATGTTATATAATATTTCCAAATAATGATGCCTCTCTATATATTTACATGGAAACTACGGCAGCTACATAAACCTAATAAAATTATATTTTGTTTCAAACTATTGTTCTCATCTTAGTTGTTATAGATGTTATTATAGACACAATGTTTCAATCAAGCACTTTCTGGTCATCATCAGGTGTCCATTGTTTTGGATGATATTGGATATCAATTGACTATTGTTATTTTCTCTTGATGATGCAAGTTATTGTTCAGTTGCTGGTCTTTCTTAACAGTCATTGAGATCGAATGGAGTGCTGGTTCACTCTTAGTAGGAGACAGATTCTCCTCGGCTAGTCCCAAAGCCACTAATTTGAGTTGCCAGCCTTGCATCATGATGTTAAGATGGAAATAGTGTTGGTAAGAGGAAGAGCTGTTTGAGAAATCTTATTAAAGAAAAATAAAAAGGTAGCTACTGTTAAATCCATTGCCTGACTGATTGGTTATTTGTAACTTGAAACGTACTGGATTTAACAGTAGCTCTCTCTCTGCTCAGTGGGACACAGATGTGAATCCTGCCAGAGAGCATAATTTTTTTCTTTAATAAGATTTCTCTAACATTCAGGCCAGTAGATGAAAATAAATGAATATACTGTTTAATGAATTAACGGGGTGTCTACTCAAATACAAGTACCCACTAAAAATAACATTTAAAGTGATAAACCTATATTCTCCCATATTGTTGACATGGAAAAACATCAAACACTATATAAATACAAATAAATATTGTTATTGGCTCATTCTTATAAAAATTGAAAAACTTTTTCTAAGATGCATTGAAAAAAAGTTATCCCATGAAGCACACGCACAATATTTAGAACTCCTTGCCACATTGTTCTAATTAATACATAAAACTAAACCATGTAAAAAAAAAAAAGAAAAAAAAAAGGAAAATACAATACTGTTTTAATTCTAATCATTAAGAATGGAATTTTCAAATATTGATGTATTTACTAAAATTAGCTTAATCTCCACATAATTAAGAATTGGTCGCCTAGCTTCTGTATAATACATATAAATGAAAAATGAAATATTTTAAATTTAATAAATTTTATTTTCTTGGCAAAAGTTTGAGGAAAAAAAACACAGTATTCTTTCCCAAAATCTTTGACGGTATTTTATTATTTGTTCTTTTTAATTTTTTTTTTTTTTTTTCATCAACAAGCAAATTGTTATAATTTAAATCTCCATTTTCAGATTTAATGCTTCCTGGATTAGTAATTGATGAAGAAGTTCGGCCATGGACATTCAAGCATATCAAGAAGGGAGATTCTTGTTCAGTCAACCTTCATGGAAATCTGTACGTAATCTAACTATAATTAAATTGCCGTACCAGTTGTGTAATAAGGGCATTACGAGAATGGAAATTATTGCTATGGGAAAGAAATTCTCTTTATGGTTTCAGTGCATTTTTACAAATTTGAAGGAATCACAAAAGGATAGTTTTGTTTGTAATAAAATCGTAGTTCACTAAGTGTATTGTCTTGGTTTGGAAAAATGACAAAGTACAAATTAAACAGATTAGTTAGTTAATATAGTCTACTAAGGATTTAGATAGTTGTCTGTACTTGATTTGGCTTTGGATTATATTTTGGGGTCTGTTGAAGACAATTTTTGAACACACTATATTTAATGGCATTATTTAAGTTTTGTTAGCTGAACCAAATATATAAATTCAAAATATATATATATATATATATATATTTAAGAATATAAAATTCAATAAAAATTTACTTAATAACTGAAGAATCGTTAAGTTGAGCTTCATTATATTTGTTTTCATTATGTTTCCTATTTTATTGCAGGGCACCTGTGGCTGTTGGCCGGATGCTTATGTCTGGAAGAGATATGTATGATAGTAATATGAAAGGCAAGGGAATTGGTATTATACACCATTTTGGAGATGAATTATGGTAAGTTATGTTTGTTTTACTGATAAGATTATCCAGCATTACTATTACAGTGTTTAGTATCATTATCAATGTTTTTTTTTTTTTTTTTTTTTTTTTGGTATATTCATTTTTTAAATTGAACTATAATTATAAAGACATAAGATAAAATAACAAACATGGGCCTTTGTGCATGAAAAAAAAAAACAGTGTCAAAAGGGTGGATTTTTTTTTTCCCAGTAACACTGCTATTATTTTAAGTACACCTTGGCAATGTTTCTTGTTTTAAAAAGCGATGATTAGAATTGTAATAAATCCTAAACATGATAAAAGTGAATTTATACGTCTTTTTGTTTTTCAGAATTTACAACAAAAAAATTAAATGCTATTTATTTATTAGATAGTTTATTTACAAGAATAATTTTATATTTAGATTAAAAAAAACAAATAAAATTGTATTAAGACTAAATTAAAATATGTGAATCAACTATAAATAAATCCTTATTAGTTACCATTTTATAAGATTTCAATCAATTGGCAATTACTCAATGTTTTGCCAATCATTCCAATAAACAATATAAGAGTGTAAATAAACAATCTAATAGTGTTTATTATTTTTGTTGTCAATTCTTTAAGAACAAAGAAAATGTATAAATTCACTTTATGTTTAGGTTTTATTACAATTCTAATGATCACTTTTTGAAACAATAAATATTGCTGAAAAGTGAAGGTAGTTAAAATAACACGATCTCATGGGAAAAACCATGCCTTTGACCCTTTTTTTTTTTTTTTTTTTCTTTCAGACACGAAGATCCATATTTGCCGATAAAACTTTTTGAAAAGTCCATTATCTTTGTATAATGTAAAATCTTCTTTCTGTAAACTTTTAATGAAATCAAAGTATAATATCTCTTCTGTTCAATTATAGCAAAAGAAACAATGCCATTATTTTGCTCGATTAATTATGCTGTCTGAAACCTAGTTTTTGTGTTGCTTTTATTTCAAGGTTGAAAAACTACGATATAAAAAAAATATTGCTTTTTCCTAATACAAAAAAATAGACATTTTTTTCTGTATTTATATTTTTGTATTTCTTTTAATTCCATGAGAATACCTACCATATTTGAATTCGTATAGCACCCACTTGTCTCCCAAATTTTATTTCATAAATTTTGAATAAATGCAAGAAAATAAACATTGATGAAATTCCAGTAATATTTGATGTTTCTTCTTTTCCTTTCCTGCTGAAAATAAGAAGGCATTCTTATATGCTATAAATTATAATTCGCATAACTTTTCATATAAACTTTCATTAGATTGTTTTTTTTTTTTTTGTTTTGGTTTTTTGTTATATCATTACTCAAACTAGGAGACTTAACTCTATAAGGTGTTGCAATGATTCTTGTGCTTAAAATTGTATTGCTTTGTGTTAATGTATATTCCTCATTACTTTTAGGGCTGCTGGAGATAAATCACAACCTCCACATATACCTCAAGGTAAAGTATTTCCCTTGTCATTTTTACTTTGAAGAAATTTTTTTTGATATTGTACTTCACAGAAGATCTTGAACATTAATTAGGACTAAACATTAATTGCAAGCAGAAGGAATGCATGGCTGTCAGTAATGTAAAGTGTCAGTGACAGGTGTAAAGTGTTTGCCAGTCAAAAGCTGCCTTCCTACTGTTTTATAGTGGCTTGCTTATATTGGCATCATTGACCTGCTGCTAGAGCCTCGCACGTGGTCGGGTTAGTCCAATATTGTTGTGGGGGCTACAGGTGTTGTCAAAGAACGTCCCTCCATATAATATGTCTGACATACTATTCTACATGCCCCACCCTCATGGGACCACAAGACATTTGGGTTGTGGTCACTTGCCAAGACATACTTGAATACTTGTGCGACATACCTGCATCTGTGGTGATACCTTTCTGGTCAGTCAAGATATTCTTGTGCTGCGATGTGGGCTCTGGCTTGGTGGTGGTTGATGTATTTCATATTGGTCTTCATCAACCTCCATTTAATTGTGGGGACTGCCATCCTTTCCAGGCCATCTGCATCTTCCACTTCCATTTCCTCTGGTGTGGTACCTGGGGATTTGGTCTGGTAGCACATAAGTCGCAGTTCTGCGTGTTGATTTGTGCCAACAGGTGTGGCTCATTCTCTGGGTTGTTGGTGTTGGGGTCCTGGCCCTGTTGGGTTGTTCGACGTGTCCAACATCGAAATCTACCTCTTTTTCCTCAGAGTGAAATTTTTCCGTGTTGAAAATGATACTGTTTTTGCCACAGTGGGTAATATAATCCATTGTATGCCAGAATGATGTTTCTATTGTGTTGTCCCAGAGTATGCTGTTGCTGATGCATCTGGTTTTCCGGACCATATCAATGGTTATATCGTCAAATCTGCATGTGTATATATATCTCCCAATGCATGAAATCCCTGTGGAGCTCAAAGGTATTGATATCTGCCTCGTTCAATGATGAAAGTAGTTGTGTCCTGTGCAGTTGGGAAGAGAAGAAGGCTATGGTAGCCATTAGTTTATGCTGGCACTAATGATGCCTGATTGAATGGTGGGTATCCCTGATGGTAACAGCATTAAGCTTCTGCAGGTCTACTGTATGCCTAGGTGAGCTGTCCTTTTTGGTATGACCACCATCCTAGAACACCAAGTAAGTTGTAGGCATACCCACTGTTACTAGTTCAATGATGGCCAGTGCCACATCCTGGTCAATGTCCTGTTTGACACTCTTTTACCAGTGATGTGGAAGTGGGATTGGAGTGCTGTTGGTGTTGTACCCGGAAGAAAGGTAATGTCCAGGGGTCTTGCCTTCATGGTCTGTAGCGGTTGGTGTAGACTTACATTAAATGTGCTGGACCTAAAATGATCAACATCCATTGTTCCAATTGAGGCCTATTATTCTCTATGTGTTAAACAGGATATTGTTCGACCTCTGCATGTTGGATAATGTGACAGGGCGTATGGTGTTATAGAGATGGGGTGTTGACTCCTCTGTCATTTCTAAACTGACTAGCCTGTTGAACTTCTACTCTAGAGTTGTGAGGGTCATAGCCTCTACCAATATCTTGCTCTCGTGTTTGACATTGGCAAGTCCTGCCACCATTTGTCCTGTCACCATGTCGCTGGAATAGTTTACTTGCCAACCACAGTTTGTTTCATTTGGACAATTTACTGAAAACTTGCAAAATTTGGCCAGGGATCATAAACAAGCTAGAAAGTGCATGATTGATTCATCCTCTTTTTGCCTCATAGAGTGGGAGTTTTATCTGTGTACCTCTTTATGCAGTCCTCTGACCATGACGTAATAGCTGTTCTTCTGTGGCAGAGTTGAGTGTCTCAGCTTTTACCCGGTCATATGCAATCTGTTCACCTCAGGGGTGCTATTAGCTTATTCTATATAACTGCTGGGTCTGTCAGCTTGCACATTTCTTTGTAACAGTTGCATGTATTGATAAATATTGCCCAGTTGCTGTCAGTTGAGTCCGGTCCTATTGTAGGTTGATCCAGTTTTTTGCCATGGGGATTGTTTGGCTGGCTATGAAATCCTTCCTTTTGTAGTGCGATATTTTCTTTTTGTAACTCAACAAATTGTTGCATGAGCTGCAAATACTCATTTCATCTCCATGCTTCAAAGTTATGAATTTTGAATGTTGGTAATTTTCTGTAGTCTTATACAAAAACTCCTATTGGTGATGCCATGTAAAGTGACAGTGACAGATGTAAAGTGTTTGCCAGTTAAGAGTTTTGTAGTTGCTTGCTTATATTGGTGTCGTTTACATGCTGCTAGAGCCTCACATGTGTATGGGTTAGTCCTGTACTGTTGGGAGGCTATTGGTGTTGTTTCAAAGAACATCCCTCTGTATAATATGTTTGATGTACTACTCTACAAGTAAAATGGCCCACATTTACACATTGAGAATGTTAATCAAAAAGTTGTTGAAATTTACAGTTACTATAATAAACACTATTTGGGTAGTGTAGTGGTGTTGCTCTATGGTAGTGAACACTGGACAGTTTCATCACAAATGAAGAAAAGACTTCAAGTGACCAGGGTGTGGTTCTACTAATAACTATCGAATATAATGTGACAAATTAAGTTTTTAAAAGAATAGGAACTACAAAAAAATTGTTGCTAACAATCAGAAAAAGACAGCTGGAATTTTTTAGATACATCAGAACATTTGGATAATTTATCATTCTGTGTGCATATCAAAAGCAGCAGCAAGTAGCCTACTTGACAAATTTGATAGGAAACAAATACTATAATGGCAAGAGGCATTATAAAAATGACAGCAAGCTGTGCAGGACCAATGGCCATCCACAACCTGATAGGACATGATATATAGAGTGTGACAGAACATTTTATTTTCAAACAGAAAGTGATGGAACTTAGAATACCATAATTTTTCTTCTCCCCCCCATATGAAAATTGTATTGAGAATTAAGTAGTTTTATGTTGGACATGAAGTTAAAAAATTTTTGCTTCATAGAATGTAGACAATAATAGACTTTCCTCTCTTGGCTCCAGGTTCAGAAGATGGTAATCTGAATGCAAAAGAAAATATTATTTGTCATATTTCGATGTTGGGTTAGTAAAAGAAAATTCTTTGTTTAAGAATTTTTTTTCTACTCTATATTATTTTCCTTGTATTTGATGAATTGTTCCAGACAAAGTCTTATTGCTTGTATTAAAAAAAAATTGTCTTGTGTAAAATTGTTTCACACATAAAGAATTAAATTTAAAATGCTTTGCTCTACACACGGGCATAAAACGTAGGTTATAATTTCTTGCTTTTTAAAAAAATATGAGGTAATTTTACAAATGACATTTAATTACTACTCGTATAGTCCCTGTCAGAAATGTCTGGATTATTTAAACAGGGTGTATACCTACCACATAATGGTAAGACATTAGCTAGAGGAAGACACCATTACCACTAATGCCTTACCATTGTGTGGGAGGTATTTCTGCTACACTCTGTATATGGATAAACATCTACCTTTTTGATCATTGTATCTGTATAGCCTGCCAAAGATCAAAGTCTTACTTTCAGTCATTTCTGTCTAGGATCAGTATAATATGGGCAGTTTGTGAAAACTTTTTTTACACACACACACACACACACACACACACACTTTCTCTCCTTCTCTCTCACACAAACTATTGCCATCAACTATATATCTGTTAATTTCCACAAGACAAGAAAATTAGGAAAAGAAAGTAGTAAGGAGGAAAGATGGTAAGTAAGAAAACTAGAAAAGAAAGGGACAAGTGATAAAGATAAAATATATTGTTTTGCCTTTGTAGTGGATGGCACTTTATTTAATTTTTTTGTTTTCTTTTGGAGCATGACACACCTTACATTGGAATGTAGGTCAGTACTACACTATTAATACATAGATAATATTCCTTAAAGGCAGTATATGAATGCCTTAATGGTTAATGACCAAATTAATTTAGTAAACAGCATTTAAACACCAGTTGGAACAGTTTGTGTTCTCTTAATACTAATGACCTTAGTAAAAGCATGAATCTACTTTTCTCTCCATCTATAAGTAGATAGTAGGACAGTTGGAACTCTTGTTCTTTAAAGTCAATCTATCTTGGGTGTTGTGTTAGCATCATAATCCTATAAAAATTCACTTGCTACTAAAACTGCAGTAATATTGCAGGATAAAGTAGGTAGTCCAATGTGTCACAAGAAATCTGCAGATATAAACAAAAGCAAAAATAATAAATATATTCTTACTATTAAGTTGATGGTAAAATTTCCAGTCTTAATGTTTTACAATCTCATTTGTTCATATAAATTTGTAGAATCACTATTTTTTCAAAGGATTTCTTAGACTAGTTTCTAACCTTTATTATTAATTACTTCCCTTCCCACTGTATTCTTTTTCAAGGCCTCCTTATTGTTAATTTCACTTAAAATTGTTTTCTGTTACCATAGCAGGATATGACAACACAACTATGAAATGAAGTCACATACAAAGTGATAAAGATTAAGTAATTTGCATATTTTGTCATAAAAGTCACAGAAAGACAATTCCAATTTTGAGTTGGTAAATTCTTGTTGGAACCACTACAGACAAGAACCATTACATGAAAAACAAAAAAAGAGTGATTATGACAGGGTTCTCAGAATATGCTGCATGCAGAAGAACATCTCCCCCCCCCCGCTTCGTAATTGTTTATGGCATCAGATTTATAAAGTCAACAGCCTTGCATAGATAAAAAGTCTTTTCCCTCCCAAAGCATCATTCAAATAAGCAAATTGCTTATTGTCATGTTGTGTCATGAGTTTGTCCAAGACTCTGCAATTCATAATAAAAGATTTTTTTTTAAATTCCACTAAACACAAAGAATTCAATTTAGGCTGTAATGTTGATGGTTGTTCAAGCTATGATTTTTTTTTTTTTCATTTATTTGTTTTTTATTGTCAGTGGATGTCTTGTCCAAAAATGAATTTGTTTTTCTG